TTAGGAAGTCAACTTGAGTAGTATGAAATACATACTTTTTCATCTTTGCATATAATTTTATATTTCTTAGTTTTTGTAATACATAATGAATATGAAATTCATGCTCTTTTATATTCTTAAAGTAGATTAAGATATCATTTAAATATTAAACAATTCTTTGAAAGAATATCTTCATTTTTTCTTTTCAAAGATATCTTAATAATCTTGATATTAGTTTAAAATATTAATTATAATTATTTTTCTATCAACAATAGGTGTGGCATATATAACAAAAGTCAATCCTTCTTTTGTAGTATGTATGAAAATTCTCACACCTACTAATAATAATTTGGGTGTATTGGTCTTATGGATTTTTACTTGCTTAATAGAATCTTGAGTTAAACTATGAAAAAAATCAAGATTGTAAGAAATATAGTTTATCTAAGGATTATATCTTTTTAACCATAATAATCCTAAAATAATTGGATTAGAAAGAGATCTAATCACATGAAATATTATTAAACTATTATGACTACTAGTTGCTACTTCTATAGGAATAGTTTTATGTGTAAAATCTCCAAAAGTCAATAAATGACTATCTATTATTTCTACATGCATAGGTTTGATTTTCTTAACTAAAGATATATCTTGTTTTTTGACAAAGTCTTTATCTATAAAATAGGCTAAACTTCTTGAATCCAACAAGGTTAAGACTTTGTGATTTTTTGGTCCTAAAAAAACTTCTATTATAAAACAAGGTGAGGGATCTAAAGAAAGAATATGACCTTTACTAGGAGTTGCATAAGATTCCAGCTGCATAATTCCTATTATAGTTGGAGAGACTTGTTTTTTGACACATCATCCTCTTTAGCAACCATGCTCCTCATTTTATAATTGTATTGCTTCTTTAAACAATATTGAGCAATGTGCTTGACTTCTCTATAATGTAAGCATGAACTTTTTTAACAATGACAAGTCTTTTCTTCTTCAATAAGATATTTAAAATATACCATATTAATTTACACTAGTTCCAACTTTGATAAATAAATTTTTGAAAACTTAAGAGCTCCCATCAATATTTGACTTTTTCTTCTCCAATCAAATCTATATTCTTGATATCTTTCAAATAATCAATTGTTGCATGTAATGGCTTGAGCAATAAATTGTTCTAAAGATTTTTTTTTTGAAATTATCAATTATAAATCTTTGACATTGTCTTTCAATCCATATTAAAATTGATTGACAAGGGCTTTATCATTTTGGTCCATATTGCAAGTGAGGTTTTGGAATTCAATAGCATATATGGTAACTAATCATGATCTTTGTTATAAAGATAAGAGCTTGGTTTCTACTACTCTTTTTCAATTAGTTTTTCTAAATGTGGTTGTAAATACTTCTAAGAATAAATTCAAATCATAAAAGAGTTGTGAATCATTTTCCATCAAAGGTGTAATTCAAGAGAGAACACTTCTAGATATAGAAATGTACCTATAAATCCAACTTAAATAAATCCATCAGGGTATTGGAAGAAATGCAATCTTAGGTAGAACTTGACTTATTGCAAAAATCTTCAAAATTTTGATCTTTTCCATCAAACTTCTTGGGCATATTAATTCTTATCCCTATTGTACTTATAGAAGGAAAATCTCTTGGATTTAATTATAAGATCAATCTACTTGCTTCTTTCAACTACACAATTTTTTAATGCAAACTCTAAACTTCTTCCATATGGATAGGATTAGTATTTCCTCGGTTGGCATTGGTCATGTATGAAATTTCCATTCTAAGAGTATTGATAAGTTTGTAAAGATCTATAATAGTTGTAAATCTATTCTCACTTCTACTAAGTATAACATCAATAACTTTTCTTTTGATTTCAAATAATTTGACAAATCTACAAATCAAATTAGAAGAGGATAATTTGCAACTTCTAATGTCAAATAAAAATTTCTAAAAAGAAGAATAATCCAATCTTTTTAAGAAAAAAATCAGTATTAAAAAACTAAAAAAAAAAAATGAAGGTAAATAATCTATAACCTTCAAAATATAACAATAGAAGTGAAATAATCTACTCACTTCAAAAATAAAACAAGAATAATGAATTAAGTCTCTTATCAAATTGTCAAGGACATGAACCTCAAAGAACTAAAATGTCAATACATTCTTATGTCACTTGAAAAGACTAAAAAATCACTCAAAGATGATATAGTATTAAACTTGAATGGCTATTGCTAAAGATAAGAAGACTAGTAAGTTTTGAAATAAGACTAAAAACTAGAAAGGCGTTGACAAGACTGAAGAAGGCTTTATTCTTGCCTGCATTTTTTTCTTAACTATGAATTATATAACAATGTCCTATAAGACCTCCAAAACGTATTGACTTTACAAAATATATATTTTAACTTGTAATGCAAGTTTTTTATATGTACACCACATAATTAGCTTGTTTTGTAAGCTATCAACATGTGGTTAATTTGTTGCTCAAGTTTCTAAGCTACCAATTAAGTACAAATACATGTAAAGTAAAATCAATGTTTATAAAGCTTCTAAGAAGTTTTTATAGAAAATATTATGAAATAAATCTACTTTTATATATTTCTTTTTAATCATATAGATAAATATTAGAGTAAATATATATATGTATATGACATGGGGTCTTTATAGCTATGAAATCTCTATTTTCTGATGGAAGCTGAAACTCATCATAACTAGAATAAAGATCTTTCATAAAATAAATGGCATGTCTTGCAAAAGCGTCAGCAATCTCATCCACAATCGGTCCTAATTCCTTGTTTTTAATGGTCACCTTATTAGTTTGCTGTATATCTTCAATGAACTTCAAAGTTCCGAATTTCTTTAGCACTAAAAACTATTGATTAGAATATGGAGCCATAGATGATTCAAGTATTTCTATTTATATATATATTTTTTAATAGATTTATTAATTTAGGTAGTAAGGCTCTTGGCACACAAATTGGCTTCAAATTGTACAATACATATGGAATAGTAAAAATGACCATTGATACAACAACCTTTGAATTAACATATCAAATTTCATCCAATAAAGAATAAAATTCTAAAATGAATCTCCACCACCACTTCACAAAATGTAGTGATTTTTTCTTACAAAGTCTCCAAAACTTATAAAATATTATTTCAAAATCTTTCTTCTTCAATAATTTCAAAATTAAACTCATTATTCAAAATCATATCAATTTTTTTTTAATTTTTTTTAATTTTTTTAATTAATCCTTTATATTTAGAATCTATATCTTCAATCTTCTTAAAACTTATACATCCATTTCATGTTAAATTTTAAATCCTACACCCACTTCTCTATACATTAGAGCATATTATAGTAGATGATTTTATTGCACATGCAACACCTCATATTCCACATATGCAATCTAGAAATTCAAAAAATCATTATGCTTATGGTTTATAGAAGTTTTTCTAAGTTGATCTTTATGCCTCTCATGATCTAGTATTACTATGAGAAGTTGTACTAGCTTCTTACCATCATGGCTATGCATCCTAGCATAGTGAGAATTGTTATTCAATACCTTAATTTCCATCTTTGTTGTCATGATATATGTATGTCTCAAAATGATTAGATAACTTCCTTGATTTTATACAAAGAAGTTTTATTCCACCTTCACATTACCAATTTTAATGCTCATTGCTAGAAATGCTCCATAAAAGTTATCTTTTTTTATTATTAGAAATTCTTAACATCCATCCATTTCTGGTGTCAATTGGTCATTTTTCCTTTTTCATAAACCTTTTTGGATAAGATATTGATGTCAAAACTATAATCCAACAATGCTAAGATTGGTTCTTGAAGGCCTCCAATCTTTATATGTATCTCTATAGTAGCTTTTGTCCATAATGGATAAGTATAAGTTATCAAAGCTTCACCATTACTCCTTTATAGCTTGTCAATTCTATATTTTAACACTTTAGCCTCTATTTCAATTTCTTCTTCTTGGTTCTTGCTAGTGTTTGTTTCCATCTTGATGTTAGCCACTCCATCACATAAAAACATTTATAGTAGTTCATCCTCCATTTCATCAAACAAAACTTCCTCCATAACTTCAACTTTTGTGTTTTGAGTCTTTTCAAAAATAACTTCATATTTTTTTACTTTGATTATCACTGCCTATATTATCATATGTCAAGGCAAACACTTGTCTAATCTCTTCTTTTTCTTCTTTACTCATCAAAGTATCTGATGTCCTTGCTATTACTATTATAGTTGTCATTTGTCTCTTTTTCTTGATTACATCAATGATGAGCTCATGAAAAAAATTCTTAAGAATAGCAAGAACTTCTTTCAAAGAAAATTCTATCTTAGCATCCAAAATCCTCTTTTCCAAATTATTCTTCATGTCAATTGAGGATTTAATATTAGATTTGAATTTATAGGTTGGTGCTTTATAATTTTTCTTAATATTATATTTTTTCTCTTTGTTCTTGGTGTTGCTCATCTATGTTTTCTATTTTTTCTATAGAAGTAGAAGACTAGCTCCTAGATACAAAGCAAAAGGTAGTGCTTCTTATCTTGTATTGTTTATTGGTCTGTCTCCTAGAACAACCTTTCTATCACTTGGGGCGTTTTTTCTTATTAACTAGTTCTTCTACCTCTTTTTCTTCACTAGTTGTGAGTCACATAATTGACTCACTTATATGTTTAGTACAAAAAAATGTACTTATAGTATTTAAAATCAACAATTTGGTGAATTAATGTAGGGATTTTGAGATAAATAGCAAAAAATAGGATTTCAATATAAGATGAGGTCCCTTGTAGAATTTTCCTTGAGAAGGAGTTTTTAAATAAATATTTTCTCCTTAATTTATTTAATATAGATTTAAGATTTTTTTAAGAGTAGTTTTATTTTTATTAAAAAAAACAAAAAAGTAAAAAGTAAAAAGTAAAAACGAAGGAGAAGAGAAGATGATGACAAGGGGGAGAGGCTACCCCTCAACTGTGGCAGCCTCTGCCGATAGGGGGGGTCCGGGCCGTCCCGGATCCCGTCGCTCTTGTGTTCTCTGTTTTTTTCCGTGCAAGTCCCGAAGTCCAAGCGCTCCAAATTTCTTCCTGTCTAGAGTTTTTTGGGTAAGGCGTTGCGGACGCTCCGACTGTGAGAGGCTCTCCCAGTGTGTGTGTGTGTTTTTTTTTTTTTTTTTTTTTTTTTTTTGGTTTTTTCAACGGAGGCTCGGCTCAGCTCCGTTTTTCCTTCGTTTTGCTAAGGTGCCGTGATGCAGCATCTTGTTTTTTTTACTTCTCTCGAAGCTCCGCGATTGGCAGCTGTGTCGCAGTGGTACTGCATACTGGTTTTGGTTCTTCACTTGTTTAGGGTGGGGGTGTGGTTGCAATTGCCCTTGTTTCGTAAAGGTGTTGCTCACCTTCAGCCATCGATTCCGGTGCTGCGATGGCGTCCAGTTCGGTGATTGAAGCTGCCGAAGTCTGAAGTTCCGATTCCTAAAGGTTACGTTGTGGCGGTCCAAGGCTAGTGGAGCGTGCAACGTAGCGTTACAGTAGTGGAGTGCCATCCTCGACGTGTATACTCAATCCTCTTTCTTGATCTGGTGCCAACGGCACGAGGTAGTGTCGTTTGGTACTGTGTTTTTATTTTCCGAATTCCCTCCTCCTTGGTTCCCTGATTTAGTAGTGGATGTTGGCGGCGGCAGTTGGATGAGTACATGAGGGAAGCAAGGTAGTAGGATGTTTTGCCCCTCTCATTTCGTCGGCTGTGGTCGACGTTCCTCATGTTGCAACGGTCGCTGCGGCACTGGTTTTTAAAGACGCCAACATTGGCTGCGGTAGCATCAAGGGTGGCATGCCAGTTTAGATTTTTTAAATCTCGTTCTCAAGCTACTAGTGTGCTGTCAGGGGCTATCATCATTCCATTCGTGGAGTTCTTATTCAAGATCAATTTCTGACATCGGTAATTTGAGGCAGCAGGGACCTTCATGAACATTGCATCCGAAACTCCTGATTGTACACTTGTTGCCTCGATGTCTAACAAAAGACAACTTGAGAGCTTTTGGGTGCGTCATACAATGCACCTATCGACAGTCATTTTGGAAGTAGCAGCCGACGGTTGCAGAATTTTGTCATCAACAATTCTTGGTTGTTTCCTTCTTTTTATATAGTTTGGTGGCGGCAATGACGTTGACCTTGCGGATTATTTCCTTGTTCCCTTCTTGTAGTGTTTGTTAACACCATTTTCCAACTCCTGGGAGCAATTAATCTTCACTAGCTTCAAATTGCCTTCTTTTGCAGATCCGACCTGCATTGCCAATCATTCGTCCCTTTGTCCTAGTTGGAATTCTGTAGTTGGATAAAAAGCAAGCAACGTTTATTCCAGGATTATCCGTGCACTTCTCAAGCCATTGGAATCTATGCTGAACAAAGCAACTCACTAGCAATCAGCCTAGAGTCCGCATTGGGTCGTTAGCCCCCTCAAGCGTGCTATTGCTCCAAGGTCTCCTCGTACTGCAGATTGGTCCCCGAGCTCGGATCCAGGAGGAGGAGTGCTTGCTGAGGAGGTCCTAAGGTGAGCAGACCGTAGCCTAAGTGCAAGTGGTGAGGATTCCAACGACGAGGCTTTGACGAGATTTGGAGCCATATAGGATTCTCAGATCATTGCGTAGCGGGGAATAAATTATTAGAGCAATAAGAATGGAGGTTGGAACTGGAGTGAAGGTTTTGTTGGTGGAACTGTGGACTTTGGAGTTGCAGCCTTCATCAACCTGTTGGGTTACTCCACATTCGTGCTGTGAACTGGGGTTGATCATCTACACACCTTTGATGTTCTTTGACTTGGTGAGAATTTCCAAAGTAGATTAGACCATTATTGGATGAGATCTAGTTGGATGAAGTTATATTAGGATTTAAAGAATTTAGAGTTGGACGAATTATTTGGATGAATTTTCAATCAAGAATGAATGTAAAGCAAGTTGGATGATAAATTGTGGATGAAATTTTATTAAGTTTGGGTGGTTTTTTATTTGTGGATGAATACTATTCAAGGATGAATTGTCATTCAAGGATGAAAATTGCCAATGGATGAATTTTAATTAAATAGAAATTAACATAAGATAAAAATTATATTATTAAGAATTTTTTTTAAATTACATGGAATTTGTCATGTGACTTATTATTATGAAAGGGAGATGGTAATAGAGAATTTCCTGGACCACTTGGGTGATTTAGGAGTTTAAGTGTGAATTAATTTTGATTGAACAAAATCTAAAATTTCTAGAATGTATCTGGTTAATTCACTTGCTGTGAACTAGAATAAATTTCCAATTAGTAGAGGTTTACTTTAGCTCACAATGTTAACAATATCTTCTATAAAACAGATTTAAGCCAAAGGTCTTCAACAAATACTTTAAAATAACAAAGTTCTATTTCATATTTTACTACTACAATAAGCTGAAAATAGTTCCAACAAAGCAACTTGACTTTTTGTCAGATTTAATTTTCCAATGTTATTAATTGCTTAACTTCAGAAGAATTCTTGATGAAAATGAAAATATATGTCTGCTTCCTTGTAAAAGAAATGGTTATGCAGAATACACATAATTTTTTTTACATCTTTAACTTCTTTAATATAGTTTGTTTGTTTATATATATATATATATATATATATATATATATTACTTTTATATAATTTTTGTGTTTGCATAGAAAGTATTAAAAACTTTAAATATAAAAAAGTGATATATTTTAGCATTATTATTATTTTATAGCTTTGTAATGGTTCCATGCAAAATCGGATTTGTATTTAATTTTTAAAAATCTTTTTGGTTTTTAAAAAAAAATTAAACTATTCGTTTGAGAAATTGAGGGCTATAATTACTTAGCATGCCCTAAACATACAGAATTTAAAGAATATATACATCAAATGAAAAAAAATATATATGTATCAGTGATTTAAAATATTTATGAACTTCAGTTTGAAAATATATCATTTTTGAAATATATTTGTTATTGAAAATTAAATTGCTCTGTGTATTTTTATTTTTTTTTTTTGTTTAAATATTATATCCCAAAAATATAGCAAATTAACATTTGATAGAATCTAAATTAGCTTTAATTTTAATTAGCTTATCAATTATATATTGCAATATTCATTAAAAAACAGTTAAGGGTTTTTTTTTTTTTTTTTTTTTTTTCTTACTTTGTTGTATATCCAAAAAAAATTTAAGATATTACAGAATCTTCAATATAGGAAAATACTACCTCTTAACTTTTGTAATATCTATATTCTTAAGTTGAACAAAACAAATCATATTTTATTAATTATTGGCATGATTTTTTATTTGAATGATCTTTATTAACCTCAACTTCATCCATGTCTTATGCAATAAATTTATAAAATTATGATGTTTTGTAGATAATCTTTATTTTATTTTAATTTAATGTATGATAATATTTTTGCTTAGTGTTTATAATACTGTTTTTAGGAAATCATTAGGTGGACAACTTCTAGTACCATCTGCGCTTGCTTACATACCTTTGCAACAAATAACTAGTTTTGCTTTTAAAGGAGATATTTTATATCTGACATTGATGTATAATAATAATAATAATATAAATTTTTAATTCAAAATTTTAATTTGACAAAGATTTATAAGAATAAATAAATTATAGACTAAGGTAATATGGAGCCATAGAATATAGATGTGTAAAGCATAAAAGGTCTCTGTGCAGTAAGAGGGAGATGTTCATCTAATACTTTCATTTTTTTAATCACATTTATGAATAAACAAAATATTTTTTGTATGATTTAATAAATTTAAAATTATTTTATTAATTACATCATGTGTTCATTTAAAAAAAATATTATGATCATTGTTTACATTTCTTTTTAAAGATGTTATTAATACAGATAATTTTTTCTATAAGATATGAAACAATGATTTAAACTGCAGAAATTCTCATACCTCTATATGTGTTTTATGAAATTACAATATTTATAGAAGAAAAAGTTCTATAAAGTTATAAAAAATGGTTTTTGAATAAAAAAATATTTTAAGATTTGTTTTATGTCCCAAGAATACTACTTTTTAAAAAATTATTCATTGATTAATTTAACACGCTTTGATTGTGTACTTGAAAGAAAATACAAGTTTCATCTATAAAATACTATGATTTAATGTAGTTTTTTTTAATAAAACTTAAATCAACTATAAAACATATTGAAGGTATTTTAAGTTTCATAACTTTTTTTTATTAAGTTTTTTATTTATATATTTATTAAATATTATCATTTAATTAAATATAAAAATCATTTCATATGGAATACTTTTATAGAATTATTCAAGTTTATAAAAAAATTTATTCAAGTTAGAACTTGTATTTATGTGAGTTTACATTTATGTAAGTTTGCATAGTTTTCAATAAATTAATAGACTCTTAAGATCATAAAAATGATTAAAATTCTATTGTGACTTCTCAAAAAATTATAAAATAAGTGTAAAAAGTCTCTTTACAGTATCAAATGCATTTAGTAATACAATAATTGCCAAAAATAAATAAATAAATAAATAAATAAATAAAACTCTCAATTTTGTAAAAAAATTAAATTAAAATCTGAAAAATAACGTAAGCAATGTTTGAAACTAAATTATATATACATAATGTAAAGACACATACTAAGCTTACATATTGCATACAGCAATATAGTAAACTATTACATTGGACCTTGTTACTGCACTTATATATCCTTAAGTTCAGGTTGTTCAAATTCACTAGAATATTCATGTGATAATAATTCTATTTCTGTTGTTAAAGGAGAAAGTATGTTCTCTTGTGACCATTGTTGCTTATGCAGATAATCTTCACTTCTATTTAATACCACAACCTCTGATTGTGTATCACCTTGAAATAAGTATACAACTCGTTCCATTGTAGGTCGTCTTTCACAATCATTTTGAATGCAAAGCAAAGCAATCTTAATGATCCGAAGTACGTCTTGAAGTTCTCCATCACTCAAATGCAATGTTTGATCTACTAGCTCAATTAGCTTATTTGATTGATGAAGCTTCCATGCCTGCAAAATATAAATAAGAATCTAGATATATAGGATTTTAATTCATATATAAAACAAATATTTTTTCATTACTTTAAACATTTAAAAAAATCAATGTTAGTTGTATTAAAATCTTGAAGCATTTATTTAAAATATTTTATAATGCATTATCTTAGATTACACTTTAAAAAATAAAATATTATTCAAATCTCACATACTTTATATGATTATAAGCAAAAAATGAACAACAATATTTGTAATACAAATATTAATATCTATAATTTTATTATTATTATGAAGTAAGCAGAAAGAAATTTATACCCATTGAGTAAGAAAAACTTGGTCTTGTGGTAAAGATTCATCAATATTTCTTCGTCCACTAATTATCTCTAAACATAATACTCCAAAGCTGAAAACATCCACTTTATCGCTAAGTTGGCCCAATGATGCATATTCTGGTGCCAAATATCCTCTGCATTTCAATGCTTGTCAGCTTTAATTTATTTCAAAAAACAAATATTACTTCAACATATGTCTAATATCTAATCAAACCAATAACTATAAATGATGAATATCAAATTTATACCAAATTTATACCAAATTCTAGAGGTTCTTATATGAACATACATCTAAATATATAAACATAAAAATAATTTGATTTACCAAACCATTTGATGCAAACATTATACTAAGAATAAATAATGATAATAATAATAATATAAAACTTACTTGGTGCCTGCAACATGTATAGTCATGATGTGGGTTTCTTTATCTGGAAATAATAAAACCAAGCCAAAATCTGCAATTTTGGGCTCTAGATTCTTATCCAATAAGATATTGCTTGCCTTGATGTCGCGATGGATTACTCTCGGATGAGCCAATGCATGGAGATAGTGAAGACCATGAGCTACTCCCATACAAATCTTCAACCGCAAAAGCCAAGGCACTTCTTGCCTATGAGGTCCTATTATAGCTCACAAACATAATACAACCTATATTATTACATATAATTTAATGCAAGTTATTTCATAATGCATTAGCTTTAGATGCCAAATGATAAGTTTATTTAGAATAACAAAAAAATTAATAATATCAAAATAAAAAGATGATTAAATCTACAAGTAAATTGAATGAACATACCAAGTAAAATTTGGTCAACATCATAGTTGTCCACGTATTCATAAACTAATATCTTGGAATTTTCGCGAAGACAACACCCTTTCAAATTCACCAAGTTTCTATGCTTCATGCCTGTAATCAATACAATCTCATTGGAAAAGTCATCAATGCTTTGCTTTGTTTTGACAAATAGTTGCTTTATAGCCACCACATTTCCATTTGATAATACACCCTGCATTCAATAATATTTAAATTAGAAGACTTATATATTTATATTGCATTTTTTTATTTGCTATTCATATATATATTGTTTCTATTAAAACATATCATTATCACAATTGTATGATGGATTTTAACTTACCTTGTATACAGCACCATATCCACCTTCTCCCAACTTATTTTCAATATGGAAGTCTCTTGTAGCAGCCTTTAATTCATTGTATGAATAAATAGTAGGCTTGACATCAAACTCATCAAATTCTGCAACACATATCTTAATATTACTTATCTGGAATAAAAACATCAGTTGATAATAAAATGTTAATACTTTCTTTAAAAGACAATATTTTTGAATGTTTATGTGAACTTACTTTGTTGAAATTGAAGTTGCAAATACTTTTTATATTTCTTGTTTTTGAAAAGAATTAATCCCACAACTGAAATCATCATGAGTACCATCACCACACTAATGCATATGGAGATGATAACAATCTTTCGAACTTTTTTGCTCACTGCATTACAAAAGATGGATAATTAGAAAATCTCAAATACTCTTTGTGAAGCACATTCTTGGTTTTTATGAGATACAGTATAACATTAAAATTTTAAAAATATCTATTTATTTAGTTCATTTTTTTAGAAAAAAAAAAAGAAGGTAATTCAGCAAACATTCTATATTTAATTGTAAAATGAAGTGATTTGATATTACTTGGAGTGATGCTACAATCTTGTTTACAGTAGCATCTTCTAGCATCATCATAATCATTTCCATTACAATATGGATTGTCTTGCAACCTGCAATTGTCATACAAAAAGAATTATTTCTACGAGAAATTTAACAATACATCTTAAGACCATAAAAATAAAAATATTGAATCTATGTAAATTTTAGAATCAAATATATTGTTCTTTCCAACGAAATACATAGTTGCAACATACTTACTTGATCATAGTTCTTGGTTGGCTGATATCTTTATTGGTACATAGAACATCTTTAATAGAATTGTTCATCAAACTTAAAATTTTAAGATTCACACTTTGATTTTGAATAAGTGTTGTTTCAAAAATATTAGATATGTCAAGGCTTCCTGTAATATTATTTTTATCAAAGTACCTACATGAATGTTTAATTTTGTCAAAATTGAATGCTAAATAAAATAAAAACATAATAAGAAAGTTTTTAAAAATTTAATTGTATAATACGTCTATTTTTAAATCATAAAATTACCACACTATAATAATACTATATAGAAGTTTAGAGAATAGTTATTTCTAATATATTTTATTTATCTTATTGCATTTGGCATGTCCTAAACATGAATTAGTTGCTCTTAAAGTATAAAATATAAAATTAAAAATATAAAATAGTAATTTAGATGGAATAGAATAACTTACAATTCTTGTATAGAGCTAACATTAGAAGAAATAAAATTAAATGGAAGAGAACCACTTAGATTGTTGTCGGACACATTTACTATTTTCACTTTAGAAACATTAAAGTGATCAAAGAAATTTGTTAATGTTCCTGAAAAATTATTGCCACCTAGATATCTGCATCATATACACAAATTGTTATAAAAATAATTAATAAAACAAAGAATTTTAATATCAAAATTAGTATCTAAGGTTAAATGTAAGAAAGTGTGTGACTACATATCATATCATACTAACTTGCTTCTATTTACACTTACAACAAACATAATATAAAGATTGAACATAAAAACTTATTCAATAAATATTTTCATGGTTTTTAGACTTACACATATTCTAAATTTGATGAGGTACTAAAATTTGGTAATGGTCCTTGAAAGTGATTTGAAGAGATATCTCTGCACCAACTTTTGTTGTTAGTTCTATGTTCTTAATTTGTATCTAATCAAAAACATATATTATTCTTAATATTGCATTTATGAACAGCATTTAAAATTTAAGGTATAATTTTATAAAATATCAAGAAAAAAAACTACTTTCACATATTACAAAACTTTGAAAAGACAACAAAGTTAACAGATTCATATTATGAGCTAAACCTAGATCTAAACTTATTGCAAAGGAAAGAAAAATTAGATAAAGTATACTTACAAATATTGCAAATTCGACCAATTTCGAAAATTTGGAAACTTTCCAGTGAAGTTATTGTAAGATATATTTCTAAAATACACAAGCAAGTAAATACATAGTAAGTATTAACTAAGTATAATCATGAATTATTTTTTGGCTGATACCATATTTGTTTAACTAAATTATTTGTCATGAGCTTAGTAACTCTTATGATTTGTATAAATAAAAAATAAAACTGTTATAAATAATAAATATTATAGTATAACTTTTTATAATTCATTTATGATTAAAACACAAAATACAAATTCTAATAATTCTAACATAAGTGATCAGTATAAAAACACAGTGATTAGATTAGAATAGAATATATCTTACAATTTTTGAAGTCTTTTCATGCTTCGAGTGGCATTTTCTGGTATATTTCCGAAGAATTTATTTCCACCAATGTTTAAAGATAGAAGAGAACTTGCATTTTGTAATTGATGACTTGGATATTCTCCCGTAATTCTGTTACCACTCAAATCTCTATTCGATGTACACAAAACAATGTTAATTAAATAATAGATGTACATAGCATTATTACAAAATGAACTCAATTTACATAATTCAAAAGGTTTATAACAAACTTACAACTTTTCAAGATAATAAGAAAAATTTATATTTGGAATACTTCCATTAAAACCATTGTCATGAAGATCCCTGTAAAATACCCATTACTCATGTCAAAAGTGGAAAAAACTGAATCAAATTTTAGAAATACTAAACATTGCAATTCCATCCATTATTTTGTCTTATTTGGTCTTATTTTGTTCTATACAACCATTTGATATTTACAAAAGAAATTAATTAATAAATTCAACTTACAAAGTATTTAGCCATGTTGAATTGATTGATGGTGGAAGAGGCCCAGTTAACTCTGGATTTCCTGTCAATGTCCTATACATACATATTTTTTTATACAAATTGTAGTCAAACTTTCTTTTTGAATAAAATAAGCTATAAAATGTTCTTATGCTTGAAAACATTTTTATCAACAGTATCTAACCTTCTCAACTTCAAAAAGTTGTGCATTGCATCACAAAACCACCTTACTTCTATCACTTATACCATATGCGCAACTAACTTAAAGCAATAACTTACAAAAAGCCGATTCCTGAGAGATTTGGCCACCCAAACACGTCTGGCAAAGTGCCATTGATGTGAGCCTCGGAAAGGGTCCTGATCACCATTTCATTCTGGTTAGATCACATGTATAACTTTGTATAACTTTTGTACACAGCCAACGTTACCACGTTGCAGGTTTCACAGACACAAAATATATTTTGTGCATCCTCTAATTCGATGATCCAGCTCATGGGTGGAGTCACAATCTCCAAATCAGTTATACATGTGAGTCTTCCATAGACGCATAGTCAAGCCACAGATTAGCAAAACACGCCGCAGTTGATGAGATCTCTCACTCAATACATGATCGCGATTTCGTTCGCTCTCTGATTATTTTCGCTAAATGTACAAACTAGATTTACAGAACTTAGAAAAGTATGGAAACTTACAAACCAATGATATATCTGCTCGGGCCCTTTGTGTTTGTTTCAGAGTTGGGGACTTCTGTGCACGTCACTCCTCGCCATATAGCGTCAGGCTCGCAAGGACGTTGCCGTGTTGAGCTCCAACCCTCCAAGTCAGCTGGCGGATTGCTCTTGTTCCACGCTGCAAACAGTGCTTGGAGCGACGCAACTGTCACATGCCGCACACCATAAAATCGTTACGATTCACTGCACTGAAGTGTTCCAGGAGGTTTTACGGGTATAAACGAGAGATGCACCACACACAGTATACAATCGCACTGCCACCAGAAGCGTACTTTCTTCTTTATAGTACCACGCGTCTCCGAACGACGGGCTCAGCATAAGCAGTAAGAGGAGGAAGCAGCGGCCCAGCTGAGAAGCCTTCAACCATTGTCGTTTCATACACCCCGCCTCCATGACTTGTTCCTCAGAAATGACAACCGAAGGTTCAAACAACAGCAACAAGCTCCGCTCAGATTCGCAATTTCACAGGTACAACGCCACCCCCGTCACTCACACTCTGTCCAAACACAAGAGCACTTGCTCTGGTTCTGGCTACATGTTCCTTGATGGCGACCCTTTATAATCCCATTCTCACAAGAAAATGTAGAATATATTTGCCCACCATTCGGCACTCATTTCCTGGTGTTGAAAACTTCAAGAAAATATCCTGATAATTCCACACGCTATACCAATTGACGTTCTGACTAAGAGGCTGTACGAACGTCAATTGACCTGGTACACTTGAGTTGTTTCAAATAAAATAAAAATGTGAACCAGTAACGGTGGGTGCGGAGGAGACCCACATAGTCTCACCTTGGTTTAAACTATGGTGTTGTTTATTCCTCCCCCTCATCTCTGGAAGGCTGGGATTGACTCCGCCTCGACATTCGCTCATTTGCAATTAAGAAAAATAAATAAATAAATAAATAAATCTCATGCACTTGATTCCCTCCTCACAGAGTGTGTTTACTTTTAACTCAAATTGACTGTTAGTTCGGATGCACAGTGGGTGGTGGACGTGAGATTCCTGATGTCAAGGCCTGATGAGAAAGATGCCAGATGGTTGTGACCTGGATTGAAATGTGGAGATTTTTTGCTTTGATATTGCACTTTCACTATTTATCTGTAACTTTGACCCAGAAAGGCCTTTGGTTGACGCCCCCTTCACGGCATTCTCTTTTATTATTTTTATTTTTTGACACAAGAGAACCTTTACTGCAGATAAAATAAGAATAAGTGTGGCCAGCCCCATTCACTCACAAAGCTATATTAAGCCACATTAAAATATTCTTAGATTAACTAGTTTCTATTTGGGAACCTCCAAGGCCTGAGTTCCACAACCTAGTTGGTGCACCATTGGTTTTCGAAATTCTCAAGTAATTCTTCATTTTTATTGGGTGCCTTCTTGATCTTTGCTTGTATCAACAATCATGCAATCCTTCTATAGTCAACTACCCTTAGCTACATTTTATTGTATATCTCTTCTTTATTCCAATGTCTCCCATTGAACGCTACACCATTCTATTCAATCCATAAGTTCTATGTAATAATCCCTCATAGCAGCAACTATTGTCTACTAACACTTCTGAATCTCTGAGGTATCCTATGAGCAAAGATTCTTTGCTTCCAAGTCAGTCTGTGATCTTCCGCTCTTGAGCCATTGATTTGTGAAAAGTTATTTGTAGGACTTTTCCTATGGCCGCTATTGAGTCTGTAGTCAATTGCAAAGATAGAAGCACCTCCATTGTCTGTTATTCCCATGGATCTACACCTGCAAACTGGTCAATTGATTAACATAAAGATGTCAACATTCACTAATCTTTCCAAAATTATACTTTCCCATTTTCATGCATGAATAGTAGATGCAAAACGGTTGTCTCATAAGATCAACGATGATGTGTATTTTGGATCACTATGATGGAGTATTTTGGACCGGTGGAGACATCCACATCAGTGGCGATAAGCATCAAAACTGTCAAGTACGTCTACCTCGTTGTGCTAACGAAGTCGTCCCAAGTGCTAACAGTGTATTGTGTACCCAAGTTCTTGCCTCAAGTCGTCGACGGAACGGCCCTCCTCTCCCGGTAGAACGGAGACTGTATATTGAAGACATCAGAAAACGCCTCTTTCAGACTCCAGACTCCTCGAATGCGAGTTCAGCTTCTACTGAAGTTTATACAGCCGTGCATGTGGAACTTCCAGTGGTTACCCACAGCACGCACGAAGATAGTTCATTCTGGAGGGACAGCCGCTCAAAAAAGACTCAACCTTTGAGGCTTCACAATATAACAGACATGCAGATCGACAAAGAAAAGGTCGGACAGTCCACTTCGGAGGTGATCGGACTACTGTATGCTCGAAGGATTTGGAGGGAGCAGCAGGGGTACGCGGATCCCTCACAACACATGTGAATGCGCATCCACAAAGATTCCAGGATCTAGGCAGAATTCGCAGTATCACAATACATCGCCGTGCAAAGAGAGAGGATCAACTCACGTTGGAAGTTCCCATCAAGCGACTCGTCAACCACTGGCAGTGCACTGCAAGGCACATGATTAACTTGAGATCGATAAGGTTTTTCCACAAGAGGAATGCAAGCATCGTCCGCCACCCATCACTCTTCAGAACTTCCTAGACACAATAACGGAGAGGGAGGGGAAAAATTGTACCATCATGATGAATGTTAGTGAAGAGGCTTCACACCAATACGCTGAGCCACGGAATCTGAGAACGGATCCGAAGCTTGGAATTCACGTGACTTGAAGTGCACATTGCCGAGCTTGAAGGTTTCACCTCTTACACACCCAGAGGGCCACCAGAAGCACAAGTTGACACCCCTCTACCCGCCGTATCCAGGCGAACTCATCTTTCGTGTTCCAGTGCATGTTCAACAAGCCTTTTCTCCTTTTCATTCCAGCGAGTATTTCCTTCAACAAGTGAGGTTAACTGCTCTCCTCCTGCCTTGTGCACGGGGAAGACCGGCACCACTCTTGTGAAGCTAAAGACAACCGCGCCACCAAAGCCTCTTCCTCCAGGTTTTCACAGTGCCAACAACAACATAAAACCAGAGCAGATCACCCCAGGGGTAACCCCCCAGAAACTCTACTCCACTTGCATCTCCTCCGTTGGTGAGGTCTTTCGGCAGAAATGTCGTGGGGTGCCTTCGCTCGCTCGCTGCCATCTCCCTGTACCCAGAAAAGGATTCCGTGGCCAGGACTGCTTCGGCGCAGGAAACGATTGTAAAGATGCGCATCAACTACAGTGAAAGAGATTGGATATGGGTCTATTTACGCCGTGTACGATCACAGCACGAATTGAATTCAACATTTTTATTTAATTCCGCTTAGATTTGTAGAGGGTGGAATCGTAGCATCGATTGTTGTTGTGCGAAATATGAGAGCCTTTCAGTTGGATGCAACGCAGACGTTGTCGTGCAGGGCTCTCTTATTTGACTGAAGAAGTAATTAAACTCTTAAAAAATCCTAGTTTGTATTCAAGGGGAATTTGGATATGATATTTACAGCAATTAGTTGATAAGTAGATTTTGTAAAAACCTTAACCCAACAGGTACGAAACTTACACTTAATTGATGGATATTCGTTGTTAACAAAATTAATTTTGTTTTAATTTATTAAATATAATTATATAACAAGTTGTTTGTTAATTTAGGTTCTATGCAATGCTAACTTGCTATTGTTTAGAGATGTTGATCTACACATTAAATAAAACACTAAGCAACCATTACTATAAAATAAAACAAAGAACTATTAAACTTTGAATAATGAAGATGTTTGCAAAATATTAATTGCTTTTTTGAAATGGTATTGATGATATCTTTATTTTCAAGTTAAATTTTATAAAAAAATAAAAATTAAATTAATGAATCTTTAATTTTGTATTTAATACTTGGAGTATAAATATGATTTGTTCCTTATAATTAGACCATATTTAATACTTTGCATCCAGAAGACCTTAAATAAGTCAAGTTATTTCAAGTTTATAAAAAAAAAAAGACGTGTATTATTTAATTACATATTTATTTGGAACTCAACTAGGGATACACCCTCAAATTGCTAGTGATGCACTCTTTTGATAGCATTTTGTAAAAAAAATTATTGTTTGATGGCAAAAGAGTGCTCAACTCTCTCACTTTTGGATGACTCCTCTTGTCATGTCCCTTCACTATTTTCTCTTCTATTTTATACTCCCCATTCAATTCCTAGCAATACAATTTGTGCATGTAATCATTGTACAAGAATAATGAATTGACATCTTGGAAAAGGTAATTGCACCATTGGATGCATTATCAAGACTATTAAATAATAATATTAGATGTTTGTTGGTAATGTCAGTTGTTGCCCTCCGATCTTTGGAGTTAAATAGATTTTTGAAATCTTGTTGTACATAATTTGACAACAAGCACCACATGTTTCCACTTTTTTTTGGCTTTTGTTGATCTATCAAGGACATACACTAAGAAGTTGTAGAAGATTCTAGAAGATTTTAGAGAAGCTTTGTAATTTATAGAAGCTACTTGAGAAGTTTTCAAGCTCGTAGAAGGTGCTTTAGAAGCTTCTTAGCTTGTATTATATATAGGAGCCGAGACTGAGCGGATCCTCAGTCTTGACAACACATCTCTTGGAGCTCTAGCTCACGTCTCTAGTGTTGTTCTTCTACTCATCTGATTAATCTAGTTCTTACAGATTCTTCTTGAACTTCTTGTTTAGATTTTCTAGTCAGTATTCTAAATTCGTGACAGTTTGTCAAGACTCCACTCATCTTTCATATCAAAACTAGTTCCTTTTTATTAGAGTGTAGATTATTCCTCTGCTTGAAGGTGTTGGCATTTTAGAGGTTGCGGATTACTCTCTTCTAAACTAATATTTCTTCTATTGTAATATTGGAGTCTTATCTTTCTTGGAGAGAGTGGATTATCCCTCTTCTTAAAGATTTTAAGGCATGTAGAGGTTGTGGAGTACCCTCCTCTAAACCAATACTACCTTCTTGTAGAGTCATTTCTTTCTTTCTCTTAGAATGGCCGGAGGTCAAGATATTAGTATGGCTAAAAGTTCGGAGTCCAAGTTAGATGCTATTACGAATGCTCTTGTAATATTATCACAAAGAACTGTAGAGATTGAAGGAATCATTGCAAGACTTCATAATGGTGGAGCATCTGGGATGGCACAATTGAGGATTCACCAGCCTCAAGCTTCAACACCAAGAGAAGCAGCTTTGCTTCTAGTTCAACAAGGACCATTAGTCTTACAATGAAAAGAGCCCCAAATTATCCTTCCAAACAAGTTCGATGGTACCCGTTCCAAGTTTTGAGGTTTTGTCAATCAAATTAGATTGATAACAACTTTACAATCCAAACGCTATCCGATGGAGGAATCCCGTATTGGACTCCTTAGAACTTTGCCCATGCGGCAAGCTCTATCATGGTTTACTCCTTTGTTTGAGAAAAGATCGTCAATTTTGAATAACTTTGAAACTTTTTTGGATGCGTTTACAGAAGCATTTGATGAACATGACAAGGCATGATGGGCTACAACAAAGATCCAATTACTATGACAATGGGCACGCT